CTTCATGCGAAGATGTGAAACCCGGGAGACAAGTATTGTCGATGTGTGACTGCTGAGGGTACCGTCATGGGAGATGTTGGTACACACCGTGGTGCTGCATAAGAAATTACATCACAAAATTTACTACCGAGAAGAACCGTAGTCGTAACACGCAGATTAAACTTGGTAGTGACGCGATACATAGACTGGTTGGGATCCATCAAAACGATCAAGAAATCTGCCTTAAATGGCCAGGAATCACTAGCTTCAAAGCAACCAAATGAACTTCAAACAGAGACATTAGCTGAGGCAATGATCGGAGCGGATCAAAACGAAGGTGTTTTAATGGATTTCCGAGTGACCTTGCTTGAGCGAGCAGTGTAAACTCGGTTAGAATGGTGCATGTGTGGAAAAAGCTCATTAATTCAGTGACCCTAGATTGTTTACTTTCTCTCAGATTTCCCCAATATACAGACCACGACGCACTAAATAGGCTGAAAACCATTCATGAATAAATGCCAGCCCACTCAGGCACTAATCATTGCTGTTAAAATATTAAAATCCGAACCCCTTAAAATGGGAGATGTTGGTTGAACACAGAACGTCAACGCGTGTGTACCGAGGCAAACATCTTTCCCATTCAAGTAATCTTATTTTACCAGAATTGGATTAGTGATTCTTCGCCCAAATCAAACACCTTCTGATCTTGGAGTTTCTTACCTCACCTCCCCCACACTTGATCTATTTTTCCTGACACCAGTTAAGTGTGTTCAACCTCCCAACAACGAGAGTGCCTGCTCGCAGAAATGATCGCGTTATCATGTGGTGGTCACACATGATCCCCTCACCTCGTTGCCTGCTTTATCACAATTTTGAGTTGTACACACGACACCGCCTGATGGCTGAATCCGATTGGTTGGCTGTAAAGGTTTAACAAATGGCGGCACTGACTGCTTCAGCAGATAAGTCGCGTGAGATACCGACTTTTATCATGACACTTGACGTTTGGCAGCCGCCGATGTGGCCTCCTCTCTCGCCTCGGCTGCCATCTCACCCAACTTGACGCATGAGTGCGAAAGTGTCAGAGTGGAGGGGAGATGTGTGACAGTTCCGACACAAGGCCATTTTCGCCAGTGCTTGCCAAGTGAATGAGCGAATAAATTAGCCCACTTCTCCTCCTCCTCAGGCCAACTCTGCCCACTCACTAACCACACGCACACTTCCTTGCACTTGCACATTCAGAAACGCACACACACACACACACATCCACGACAGGGTTTCTGGCATGTGTTCCTCCCACGGTGTGAAGGCACTGGCGACAAGGGCGTTGCACCAACTGCTTTTGCTGCAGCCACCTCCGAATCGCAGACGTGGCGATG